GGTGACAAAGGGTAAGGTTGATATGCCAATAGAGTGCCCACCAGAGACAACACAGTGTGGGGTTGGAGGTACACAGCAGGCCAGGCAGCATCAGAGGTCGGGTCCCCGAAACATCAACCTTCCTGCTCCCCTGATGCTGCCTGGCCTGCTACGTTCCTCCAGCTCCACTCTGTGTTGTCTCTGACACCAGCATCTGCAGTTCTTGCTATCTCAGAGTGCCCACCAGGCTGCTATTGGAAGGCTCCTTTATGACCGTGATAGTTTCACGAGTCAGTAACTTATTTCCTTGTGGGACAACCCTGGTGTAAAATCTCACACCCAGCCTGAAGGGCTGGACAATTTATAACGGAATTAAAGTGTGGAAGTGCTATCAGCACCATCTCAAGATTCCAGTCTAATGTACAGGGTAAATGGAATCCTAGAACCAAATAAATGATGCTAACAGAGAGCACAGCTTTTCATAGAGGAGAAATGAGTCATTGTAATGGGTCCTGGGGCTTTAAAGGATGAAATGGAGAGAGATCAAGTGTGGGACCTGTTGGAGATAATGCCATTGATAGAAACATTCATATCTCAAAATGGATGGGGGCCAGTTAGCTCAGTTGGTTTGTGATGTAGAATGATGCCAACAGTGTCGGTTCAATTCCCACAGTGGCTGAGGCCATGAAGGACTCTTGTTCTCAACCTATCCCTTTGCCTGAGGCATGGTGACTCTTTGGTAAAGCACTACCAGTTGTCTTTCTCCACTGAGAACAGCCCTCCGTACTGGTAAGACTGTGTCAACTTTGCCTTTAGCTCAAACTGGATGGGGAGGTGGACTGGATCTTTTACTGTTAGTATCCTAGGGAGTGCAGTATTTGACAGGAATTTGTGTCTAAGGTAAGCACATTGTAAAAGATTCTTCAAATATTCATGAATATTGGAAACCATTCAGAGTTTGTCAGTCTCAGTGATCTAAGTTATGAAATGTGTGTCTGCTCTACAATGGAGACAACAATTATTACCTTAGGCTTTAATGTTTTCACGTGCGAAGTACGAAGAGTGAAAATCATGCAACTGTTTTAAAGAAACTCAGACAACATCAACCTAGATTCTACCTCTTTCTTCCATTTCTTGTAGTCTACGTTTCTCCTCAGCTTTCCTCTTGATCGCTGATAAAGCATCAAGACTGTCTTGAATCTTCTTATGCTCGCTCGTTTCCCACTGCATTCGCTCTTCCTTTTCAGCTTTCCATCCTCCTCGAGCCCAGGCCTCTGCACATGCCCTGTCAGAAGTCAATGGCAGAATGATTAGGCCTATTTAGGCATGCAGATGGTGAAGACTAGAACATAGAACATAGAACATAGAACATAACAGCGCAGTACAGGCCCTTCGGCCCTCGATGTTGCGCCGACCTGTGAAACCAATCTGAAGCCCATCTAACCTAAACTATTCCATTATCATCCATATGTTTATCCAATGACCATTTAAATGCCCTTAAAGTTGGCGAGTCTACTATTTTTGCAGGCAGGGCATTCCATGCCCTTACTACTCTCTGAGTAAAGAACCTACCTCTGACATCTGTCCTATATCTATCACCCCTCAATTTAAAGCTATGTCCCCTCGTGCCAGCCATCACCATCGGAGGAAAAAGGCTCCCACTGTCCACCCTATCTAATCCTCTGATCATCTTGTAGTGGGAGCTAGTTGGACCAAATGGCAACCTTCCATGTTGTAACTTCTCAGTATTTCGATATAAATGCAAACAGAATATCACAAAGCCAAAAGATTGAGAGTTCAATTTCTATCATGACAAATGCTCTTTTTCACAACAGTGCATGCCATAGGCTACAAGAATTTCTTACTTTATGTCCCTGTCACTACCTTTCCCCACTTCCCACTTGATTTCTTTCCTCTTTCTCTCCTCTTCACTGTGTGATTCTGCTTCTCATTCCTACAGATTTTTTAAAAAGTCCATTAAAGATGTGTCCAGCATTTATTACCCATCCCTAGATGCTCCTAAGAAAGGGGTGTGAGCTGCCTTCTCAAATTGCTGCGGTCTGTGTAATGAAAGTTGTCCCACAGTATTTATGCAGAGAATTTTAAAGATTTGACTTACTTTGACAAATGAAGGAATAACAATATAGTTCCAAGACAGGATGAAATGTGACTTGGCAAAGAGCTCGGACGTACTGATGTTCCCACATACTTGCTGTATTTGCCCTTTTATATAGGTAAATATTGAAACAGATATCTTGTGATTTACGGGCTGGCACCACATAGAAGGAGCACATAAACTGCTTGAACTATTATAGAAGTCCAACTTATTCATGAATAGCCTTTGGAGAAGAGTACCTACTACTCTGACTCAGTGCTATCATCTAGTAGGGTCTGTCAGGGATGCCTCAGACTGATGCAACTAGGAAATAGGTAATGGTTATACATTAAGTCAGGGGTAATCGGGTGAGCATTTGATTGGGTGTGCCATGTGGGGAACTTGTAATCATGGTGTTGGCATTTGTGTTCTTTGATTTTGACGAGAAAAGTATATGACTGGACTCATCTAACCAGCATTTCAACCTCTGGTATTTATCAATAGTAAAAGAAGATAGTTAACTGTTTGTAAATCAAGGATTGAAAACCAAGTAGTACTCTAATCAAAGTACCATAAAATCCCAACAGTGTGGAAGCAGGCTATTTTGCCCATTGAGTCCACACAGACCCTCCAAAGTTTCTACCCAGACCCACCCCCTACCCAGTCCCTGTAACCCTGCATTTCACATGGCTAATCCACCTAGCCTGTAAATCCCTACACACTACTGGCAATCCAAAAATGTGCAGGTTAGGTATTTGGCCATGCTAAATTGCCCGCAATGTCCAGGGGTGTGAGAATTAGGTGAATTAACCATGAGGAATGCAGGGTTATGGGGAAGGGGTAGGGGTATGAGTCTGGGTGAGATGCTCTTGGGAAGGGCGGTATTGACTTGTTGGGCCAATTGGCCTGTTTCCACACTGTACGGATTCTATGAATTTAGCATGGCCAATCCACCTAACCTGCACACCTTTGGACTGTGGGAGAAAACTGGAGCACCCAGAGGAAACCCACACAGACACAGGGAGAATGTACAAACTCCACACAGACAGTCACCTGAGGATAGAATTGAACCCAGGTCTCTGGCACTGTGAGGCAGCACTGCTAACCACTGTGCCACTGTGCCATCAAGTTGCTTCAGAAAATCTTTAGAAAGATTCAATCTAAACGCAATGCAGCAGAGTATGATTATCCATGCCTATTTCCTGAAAGTAAACCTTGTGGACTTGTTTTTCCAAAGAAGAAACAAGACTTTGGCAGTTTCATTATGATATAATATTAAGATAAGAAACAAAGATTTCAGAGTTGGAGGCTGATAATTTAAACACAAATGAAGATTTGGATAAATTATCAACTTACATGTAAAAGATTCATTAAAAATATGGTTTACTTATGAAGCATGATCAAACTTAAATAGTGAAAATACTTCCACAGAAGAATACATATTAGAATTCAGTAGTTTTATGTAAGATTTGCAAAAATTCTAGTTGAAGATTCCCCAATCTGTGCTGGCATTTAAGTTATTAGACTTAAGTGTTAAAGTATCTAGGTTAGATAGACTCCTAATGTTATCAGGTGTTAACAAAAACAGAAATTGCTGGAAAAGCATCTGGCAGCATCTGTGGATAAAGATCACAGTTAATGTTTTGGGTCCAGTGACCCTTCCTCAGAACAGAGGAAGTCAGAACAAAGTTTTGCAGTTCGATAGACTCTGAAACAGTTCCTTGAAGTGGAGGGTAGCTAATATAACATCACTACTTAAAAGAATTGGTAGAGAGAAAACAGGGAAGTATAGACTAATTGGCGTGACATTGATAATGGGGAAAACACTTGAGTCTATTATAAAAGATTTAATAGCAGAGCAGTTGGAAAACAGTGACAGGATCAGACAGAGTCAGCATGGAAGTTTGAGGGGGTGTAACTAGTCAGTTGGTAAAGGGGAAGTTAGTTGATGTGATTTACTTGGACTATCAGAAGACTTTTGATAAGGTCCCAAATGAAAGAATAACATGTAAAGTTAAAGCACATAAGATTAGAGATAGTGTACTGACGTGGATAGAGAATTAGTTAGCAAATAGGAAACAAGGACAGAACAGAAGG